TGTTTTTTTTTCGCATTTTTTATGATATTGCAATTTTTCATATATCTATTGACTCGATCCGCTTTACTAGCAGCAAAAATATTTTTGTTAATAAAAGTAACTTTTCTACTTGATGTACGTTCATAAAATTTTGTTTCCTTTTTAAGCTTAGGGAAAAAAGTTGTTCACTCACACACACACACACACACAGATACAATTTTCTGTTCTTTGTGCTCATCTATTCATCCATAACTGGCATTAAAACGCAATCAGTGTTTAGCAGTGCTCACTTGTTGTTGTTGATGTTGCTGTTGTTGTTGTTGTTGTTGTTGCTTACAGCAAAATCACATCAACTTTGCTGTGTTTGCTCAATTGCTTCGTCCACGTTTTCTTCTGCTGCTCCTGCTGCGCCTCCTGCTCCAGCTCCTGCTCCACATTTGCTATCGTCGCGACCTCGTCTAACTTTTTCATTAAATGTATTTCAATACTTTTCGACACCCCATCCCCAGTTGTCTCTCTCTCTCTCTCTCTCTCTCTGTCTCTCTGGCTGCCTGTTTGTCTCTCTTTCTGTCCCTCTCTCTCCCTTCTCTCCTTCTGCCTTTTCGCCTCACGCGTTGCCAATTTTTTCCACTTGACCAATTCATTTTGCGCACTTCACACAGCTATAGCCCGCCTCCGCCGCCGCCGCCGCTGAGCTCTCTCCCGCTTCCGTCTGCTCGCTTTGCTCTTTGCCCCAGCTCTGCGCTCACTTAGCAATCTGATTTTGTTTTTCTTCGCACCAACTTTCAGTTGATTTAGTCGCCCCGCGACGCGCCTCGCGTCGTCCCAGTGGCCATCGATCCGCGCTCAGTTGACGCAGTTGCTCAACTGATTGGCTGCAAAGTTTGTTTGTTTTTTTTTTTTTTTCTTTCGCTCTTCTCCTTCTGTTTCTACTTCTTTCTATTTGCGGCAAATGAAATTCCTGGTACCAAAAACTGACCAACTTCGGCCGGCTGCTGCACAGGTGATTGTTTCGCCAACCTCAAGCGCTTCAGTTACAGCCTCTGCCTCTGGCTCTGGCTCTGGCTCTGCTTCAGTCTCAGTCTCAGTCTCATCGGCTTCTCGAAGGTCTTAACTGCTTTATACATATACATTTTTACGGTCAATTGACGTTTGTTTGCCGCTCCCCTTAACCCCAACCCAATCATCTAGCGCTGTCCGTCTGTGCTCGTGTCTCTCGCCTTCTCTCTATCTATCTCTGTCTCTGTCGCTCGCTTTGTTTGTTTGCACAACTGGCACCGCCTGGCGACCAACTTTTGACCAAAATAAGACGGAAAAAAAAGCGAAAAGTTTTTAATTTTATTTATTGAAAAGTTTGTCCTGTTATTTATGTTTGCAACCGTGTTGAAAATATGACCGAAACGAGTCTAGTTTAAAGCCGCGTCGCCACTTAAAGTCAAACACAGCCAACAAATTTGTTTGCACCACTAGAAAAATTGAAGAAGAAGAAGATGGAGAAGCTTCTGCTTCTGCTGCTGCTGCTGCTGCTTCATTAAAAAGCCATTGGCACTTGCAACTTTCTGGCTATCATTACAAGTCCGCCTTGTCAACTGTCGCATTCAGCTTACAGTTTACACTTTTACAATTTGGCAATTTTACTATTTCACAGTTTTACAGTTAACAGGCAAACGATGTTAGCCAAAAATTTGTCACAAACTTTGCGCTCAAGCACATTTAAAAATAGCTTAAGACATGGACACTCTGCCGCAACAACAGCAACCACAACAACAAGAGCCATAGCAACAGCAGCAGCCACAACTGTCTCTTGGCTTGGCCAAAACCACAAAAGTCCTTCAAACTGGTCGTAGCATCATAAATTATGGTTAGTTAAAAGTTGATAAAGCATCTTAAAAAAAAA